TTTAATTTTTAGCTTTCTTTAGTGGTATTTAACATGCTGTAACTCCGCTATATTTTAAAATTTATACATAAGTTAGTAACTGAATTGAATCAATGTGAAGTTTGTTTATATGGAATTAATGGATTATCATAATTATTCAGTGATTATTAAGTATTTAAACCTTAAATCACTTTTATGAATAACCATTCTAATTTTACAGATAAAGTAAATAATTTTATCAATTTTATGATTACTGATTATATATAGTTCCTATCTAAAGTGAAAAATTCAAAGACTGGAATAGAGATTTATAACATAAAAATAATTGGAAGGAAATTTGGACGTATTCAGGCAGATAATACAATTAACTGGATGAAAAATCTATTCATCTACCATTCAGTTATACAAAACGTGACTGCGACAATTCATTCTAGTCAGTGAGATGTTGTGAAGATTGATGAATCTTATTGACACAATTAAATACCGACTCGGTTGTCTAGAGGTCAAGAGTTCGAGCACAGGACCAAATGTCTTGGGTTCGAGTCCCATGTGAGGAGTCGTGGGTGCACACCAGGATGAAACAGGTATCAAGTGCTTCCAGGTTTTCAATGGTTACCTAAAATTGACCGGTTCATGATTTCATTGGAATTGATTATATCTTTCTTTAAAGCTAACGTCATTACCTGACAAGGTTTATTTCTTTGACAAAAGTGATGATGTTCGAAAATCCATCAAAACCAAAGTATGGTATGTGCTAATCAATTGCAAATACTCCTCAAACAAGTCATCCATGGAGTCCGAAACTAGGCTACACAAACTTGTTCAAAATTATAAGATTAGGTTCTTAAAGATATTTACTGTAGGTATATTGTATTTCTTCCTACCGAACTAATCGATACTCAGACTAGATGTATACAATAGCTCCCTTGTCTTACGGTTCAATTATACGAGCCCCAAAAATAAACTAACAAGAAATATGTATTTCTTTTTACCGACACATTATTTTTATGGCCTCTAATTATTTCAGGATAACTTCAAATTACAAAAGCTATCAGTATTATTAAATCCATAACAATCTAGGACCGCTGAAGAAAAAATCACATTCCAAGAGCTGTAATACAATTATGACATCAAATAAAATACATAAGGAAATAATTAAGCTTAGTACCTGAAACCAAATATAATTTATGTGTAGTCAGGTAGTGGATTCTCAAATTTACGATAAAAGCATCTAAACTGCAAAAGTTGCTTACAAATTTAAATGTGTGTGTAGACGATCAGGTGTTACGATGAAACTAACTGAGTTATCTAAAATCGAAGAATAAAAATAACGATGTTATTGAATTCATTACAAAAAGTTTAGTGAACTGTTTTTAAGTTCTGAAATTAAGATTTTTAAAAATATTCCTCTTTCTAAAAATCTCCCAGGAATTTATCATTGGATCATAGTTGTTTTTCTCTTTCAAAAAAAAGTTTTCTAATCAAAGTGACGTAACAAAATTTATCATTAGCGAATGAGCCATGACATTACAATCTGTCTGTTGTAGTGCATAGTTTATTTGCTGCCATATGCTAAAACTGTTTATACATGGGGAACCATCTAATGATTTCTAATCTTTTAATTCATGAGCAAATCTTTACTCTTAGATGCTTCTAAGCCGTTTTTTCATGATATTAATATTTACTATTTGACAATATAATCTATTGCCGATCTTGACTATGATTAATAAAAAAAATGACTTTTCATCTTAGTAGAGTTATCAATGAAATATTAGACTTCGATGATGAATTTGGAATTTATTTTCAAAACGATTTAGTAATCAGATCATAATCTGTTTACCGTATAGATATTTATAAATCTTCATAAAATATGTTTCACACTTGAATTTACGAAAACGTTTCTATTGAATTTAGGAACAGTTATTCTACTGAATTAGTTACTATGATTAAATTTCAAGATGATCCTTTTTAAATTTATAACTTACAAAATCTAGTAAATTAGATGATTCAGCGAATTTGTTGTTTATTTGTTCTTAAACAGTTAATGACTATTGTAAAAGATATATTCTAGTCTGTGTTCACAAACTGCCATTACCTCCAACGCTAATAAGAGCATTATTATTGGATAGGGTTTGAATTATTCCGTTGATAATATTCTAGATCCAATTTCTTTCTTGCATACGTACTTTCTGGGCGGATTGCCTAGATATAGACATTTTGTTACAAATTTTTAGGATAAATAAATCTATAGAGAGCATTATGGTCAACGATACACGTTTTTTTCTATTCGGTACTTGTAAGCTGTATATGCCTGGATCTCCACGTTTAGGACCACACTAAGAGTCGAACCGAGTAACTTACGCCTCAGGCGTTCGGTCATCTATTAAGCTACTGAGACCAGATACCCATTAATTTATCTATACTAATAAAAACAGACAATAAATGAATAGTTTATCGTCTGATATTGTTTAACATTTCAATAAACAGATTTTCTTGGTTCTCCAATTTGTTGGCTGAAATCATCATTATTAACTTATTTTATAATGTAATTAAAAATAGTTGGTTAAACCTTGTTCTGTTTATAAAACTATTTGTTGGAACATATGTTTATTTAAAATGTCCTAAACATATTTAGTGTTGAAATAAACATGAATGATAGGAAATGATTTGAAATATATACTGACCTTATGATATTTTAAACAAAGGTTCAATCAAGTATATTAATAACTGTGCATGAAATGTTTACCTAAGTCCTGTGAACCACTATTTAAGCCGTTATTACTAACAAATTTTCACTCGAAAATTTTGTTTACAAGTCACTTATCAAATGAACTGTTATCTTTCCATTTACATTTTTTCTAATTAATATGCTTATAAATCAATTTATTTAATTTGAAAATACGGTTTCCCCATATGACGTTATCATTAAATATAAAACAATAGTGAACAGCTGTATATTCTTCTTAGTAAACCCTTATCAGTAAGAACATAACAACCAGTGTTTGACTAGATCTAGGAAGCAAAAGTTCCTATCTGATCAGAAATAGTTTCTAAACCAATAAACTTATTATTATCTGTCTCTTTAATCAGTTCTTGAGTTTATTTCTAGTTCCAACTGAAAGAGTAATGATAACAAAAACAAAAGCATATTCAATGCTTTCTAAATGTCATGATAAAAACTATATTTTAAACTTCTTCATTCAATCTCTATAAGCTTTCTTTCATTTATCTTAACACTATATATTGATGAATCTCAGGTAAGTTACTTTATTCTTATATTAAGGGAAACATTGATTAGTATGATATAAATTTATTCTAAATATTGGAACAATGAAAATTAATCCAACTATATGAAGAACAAACTCAACTTATTAAGGAAACTGCTAATCTTTTTCTCATAGAAAATCTCAGTTTAATTAATCATAAAACAGTCTAATAGAAAATCAGACTAGAATAGAAACATTAAGATTGCTAGCAACATAGTATATTTACTCAGAACATTAGAAAGCGAAGTGATATTTTGGACATATACAGAATATGTTAGATATTAAAACAATATTCAACTGTTATGTAATACCTATCTAGTGTGTTTCCGTGGAACCTCGAAAATTACATACCTTAAATACTAATTTATACGATTAAAATTGAAGTACTTGAAAGATACATCGTACGAAAATGTAACATTCGTATAATAATAATAAAAAAAACATTTAAACTTTGGATAAAATAATAAATATAATGTCTAAATATCATCATTCATTTTTTAAAGATCTCATTAAATTTTGGAGGTAATCATATTAATAAATTAACATCGTTTGAAGGAACTAAACGGCCTTCAATAGCTACATAATAAACTGAAACATTTTATGGTTGTGGACTATTAAATTTTAATTCGGTGATGTGGTAGCCAGCATGTTCTACCAACAAGTGTAAGATACAGACCTCCAATCAACTGCCCATTGGGATGGGGAATAGTTGAGCAAAGTAGAATAAAAATAGTACATCTGATGATAACGGATGCACATTACAGGATCCACAAATACCAACACGTCATAGAGGACCAAAAGTTGAAGCTACAAAGGACAATCACGTCAGAACATTTGGAAATCTTGACCGCAGTCATCGAGATATCATGCAAACGACTCAGAGAACAAAAAAACCATCCTTAAGTAGGAACTAATCAAGATCTCAAAACCACACATGGAAGGAAACACAAACAACCTGCCAAATTCAGTGATGTCAAAGTTTCCTTCTTATTGCTTTTAATTGCATGTGAAATTATTAATGGATATTTAGAAAGAATTCCAGACTAAGATGAAATAACTTTTCAATCCTTTCTGTCTTTAAATGCCTCTCCGACAAACGAGAAATACATTCAGATCAAAATTTGTTATTATATACAGTGTACCACAAGTACAAAATACTGTAGCTTATATGGAAAGATTGGGCTTTATCTTTAAGGAATAGTATGATGTACATATTCACATAGTACCAGTTTTTTTTTCATGAGCACTTGTTTTTGACTAGAAACCAATTCTCAATATCTAAAACGTCCAGATGATTTTATAATTCAGTGTATCAGCTAACAAAATATAACATTGATCTATATTTAACTCTCAATTTACTGATAATTTATACAGAATAAGTATTGCTTTTCTTCTTTATGTGGTTTTATTGTATCTACTGCTCTTCATTTTTTTTATTTTCAGTCGTACGTAGCTACATGAAATCAATATTGGTGATCTTGATGTTCAGTAATAAGTCATTAAATTAACTTATTTACCACCATCAAATTTCAAACGACATATTCAAATTCTTGAAGTACCAGATTTTTTAAGTTTTGTAGTGCAATATTCTCATGTACACCGGTAAACATGAAAAACATTCAAGACTTCCTGTTTAATGATTTCAAATGCATGATACGATTAAGCAATATTTCGAAAAATCATAGAAAATAACTAAAACATATAGAAATTCAATTTATCACTCAAAAAAATAATTGAAAATAAAAAAACGCTTACCAAATAACATTAGAAAATCCCGATAAAAGGGTGCTATAAAATGAGCTTTTAATATAGCTAGATATGGTTTAAAGCAAGGAAATACTTTTGAAAAACCAGTAGCTTCTGTAGCAAAATTAATAAATGCTCCTGTAGCAAGTATTCCATGTGGATGAAATCCAACTAAATAATTAACATCCATAGATAAACTTCCTTTAATTAATTCATTATCAAGATTATCATCATTTTTATCATCTTTATTATTAATATTATGTTTATTAATTATAGAATTTATAAAATAAGAATGATGTTTAATATGATTATGAATTCTAGTAAATTTAATAAATTCTTTACTAATTACTAAATGTATTGGAAAATAATCTGCTAAATATTCCCATATTTTTAAATAACGTATAAATTGTTTTGGATGTCCACCATGATTCTCTGAATCCCAATCCCATAACCAATAAATTGTATATATTGTAAATAAAACAATAATAATAGTTAAATATTGAATTTCATTTACTGAATTTACACTGATTATTGATAATTCATAATTATTTATTATATATATATTGAAAGTATTTAATATAATAATAATTAAATTATTAATTATTATATAACTTATAATAAATAATATAGATAAACAAAATATACCAGAAAATAAAAATGTCATTACATATATATAAACAATTGTATTTTGAAAGAATTCAGTAAATAAATAATATAAACATTTAGTATTTGAATATTCACGACGTTTTAAGATGACTTCACCTTTATCATTTAATTTTATATCATTAATATAATCATTAGTAGTAGTAGAAGAAGAAAAAGAAGAAGAACAAGAGGAAGAAGCAGAAAGAGAAGAAGAAGAAGAATTCAAATTGACCAGCATATATATTTAAAATGAAGTAATAAATTATTTCCAGTTTCTTCAACAATAATTATTTCCTCAATTTATAGAATAGGTATTACATGTAATTAATCAGATTTGTAAGTATCTTTTATTGGTTTGTTTGTTTTTATGCTTAAAGTTTTAATAAACACAATGTAATGAAATAGTAATGAGTATTAAAAAAAAAAACAAATTACAACTTAATTAAAGTCAATTTAAACAAACTATGATACAAATGATGTACTGTTTATTTTTTGTAATAGAATTTTCTAGATATTCCTTATTTGAAATCTGATACTTACAATAAAATAATGTAGAATATTGGAAATAATATAACAAATAGTGTAAAATTTAATTAATTAATATAGATAAACTAAAATTCACTATGAGATTAATAAAGTAGACTAAGTGTTATTAAAGTTCAGTGAACTATGGACTTGACTATTTGAATTATTTTTTTTACTAAGATTTATGTTTATGTGAACATGTAAATTAATCGACCAATCTGTGTTTATAAATTATCTCACATATAATTGTGATTACATAATTTTTTTTAGATTGATAATCATTTGATTGTTTAAAGCTAAGTAAGTTTCAATATCATCATTATGAGCAAATATGAATAGTGGCTAGCAGTGGAATCCAGGACGCTCACAGTATGCACATATGTCAATAGCAGACTGATCAATTGCAGTCTTAACAACTCAATGGGAAGATACAAGCAAAACAATACCAAGTGAATCATCATTATGACTTTGTCATTTATTGAAATTAACTCTATATATTGTGTTATAAATTTCATTACCATTCATTAGTATTGAGTTATTATTTCTAATCCTAATACTTAATTCTTTAAAATCTATCATCCAATTTTAAATTATAACTTTGTAATTTTTGTTGGTTGATATATACATTTAAACTGGAACACGTTTCTACTTTGTCATCAAATGGAAAGGTATACAGAACACTATTTTAACCATGTTACTTACTAATTTATGCCTGTTACACCCAATGGAGCATAGACCGCCGACCTGTATTCTCCTACCCATTCTGTTCTAGGCCTTCTTTTCTAGTTCTGTCCAATTGTTGTTCTTTCATCTCATGTCTGTCTCTGTTTCTCAGAGTAATGTGTTCTTCGGTATTCCTCTCCTCCTTTTGGCCATGAGGACTCCAAGTGAGGGCTTACCTTGTGATGTAATTGGGTGCTTTCCTCAATGTGTGTCCTATCCACTTCCAGCGATTATTTCCGATTCCTTCCTCTGCTGCGATCTGGTTTGTTCTCTTCCATAGTTAGTTGTTGCTGATAGTGTCCGACCAAAGGATCCGAAGTATTTTGCGTAGACAACTGTTAATAAACACTTGTATATGCTGGATGATGGATTTCGTAGTTTTCTAAGTTTCCGCCCAAAACATGAGAACTGTCTTGACATTTGTATTGAAAATTCTCACTTTGGTGTTGGTTGACATTTGTTTTGAGTTCCATATATTCTTCAATTGTAAATATGCTGCTCTTGCTTTGCCGATACGTACCTTCACATCTTCATTAGATCCGCCGTGCTCATTAATGATGCTTCCCAGATATGTAAAGGTTTTTGTATCTTCTAAATCTTCTCCGTCAATGTGATTCGATTGGTGCATGTTGTGTTGTATCGGAGAATCTTTCTTTTGCCTTTGTGTATGTTAAGACCTACTGCTGCTGAGGCTGCTGCTACATTGGTCGTCTTCTCCTGCATTTTTTGTTGCGTTTGCGATAGAGGAGCCAGATTATTTGCGAAGTCTAGATCGTCTAGCTGCATTTTAGCTGTCCACTGTATCCTATGCTTCCTCTCTAGATGTTGACATCTTTATGATCCAGTCGATCACCAGGAGAAAGATTTTTAACCGTGTACTGCAAGCTTTATTATTGAAATGATTCAACATATTCATTCAGCTACTTGAATAGTGTATGGCATACTGATAAACTTATTTGCCCTAACCCGTAATGAAAATTTTTATACTGTTAGATTCCTTTAACATTATAGTATATACATATCTATGTCGTCCATCATTAATGTTTAATGAAGTCTGAGTAATACGTTTTCTCAATATATCAGTTAGGGAGATCACTCCATAATTGTAGTGAACACCTTGTTTAGCTTTTGCACATTTTTTCACTTATTGTGAATTTGTAAATTGCAATATATATCCTTAAAAATAACCACTTTACCAATACTGACCAAAAGCAGATACCTGAAAGTCACTAAAACTTCTTAATACTATCACAAAATAAAAAAGTTAAATGTGAAATCAATGATTTACAATGTACGTGTTAATAGAAGAAGGGTTATTTCTTCACGTTATTTTATTAGTTCTAGAGTTGGTGTGCTCGGTCCCTTAGGAAGTTATCGATGTCTTTAGTTGATTCTTCTGAATGTATCTCAGTGCAGTACTGATGTTGATTATAGGCATACATGATTAAAACTTTTATTGAGGAGTCCTGAGAGTGAGAAAATAGATATTGTACATGGTATACCGATGTTTCATTACTAAACTAGCAACCTAAAAGCAGACACTACTGAACCCATATAGAACTAAAAATTCACTTGATAGTATTCACACTTCACTGAAATTTTATCAATAAACTATGTCGAGTAATTCATTCGAAATATTTGTCGAGTGCGGAATACTTGATTTGGTTGTGTTGTATGTAGTAATTATTTTTAAACATGAGTTGCCAAAACATTTAACAAAAACGAATACTGAACAGTGGGTCATAGATAAGTTGTGGCTAGCAGTGGAATCCAGGACGTGAGTCTCGTTCTCTTTGAGACTGGTCGGCTGGATGTACCCGTGTCTGAGTTGATGTTTACTTCGGGGACCGGACCCAGTCTCGTCCGCCTCAAACTCCATCGCGTTATCTACTTTTCTACTGAGTCCTCACAGGCGCTAGCTTGTGCAATGTGGTGAAGTTTTAATTCATTTTGTATTATTTGCTTGAACCTTCTTATTGATGTTTAGGGTCGGTTTGTTTATGACATAACTGATTGTTCTTGATCATCAACCAAATATGTAACACATAATAGTAAGATTATTTAGTACCTTGAGGGTTTCTTCTTTAGGTTGGTGTAGAATTATTCTGAAAAGCCAAATCAATAACCGAATTCGTTCCGTAAATATTGAGCTAAAGAATATTTCTGTTGTATTTTCACGATTTTGATAATTAATTCTCTCAAAATTAACAATTGTAGTTGTAGTAAATCTTGCTATTCTTGTTCGTCAAAATAGTTAATTTCATAGTTATTATTTAAGGATTTTAGGAAGTAAGCTTCACAATTCTACACTGTTGATTAATTGAAATGAAATCACTATTTCCAAACCTTGAAGCTACTTACTCAGTGATTATTCAGTGAAATCACTTTTGAAAGGTGAGTTTCTAAGGATTTGTTGTGAAACAACGAACGGATATTCAACTCGATTTGGAAATGAAAACGCGAAATTTCAGAAATTCTTTTTAACGAGTTACAATATAAGATTTGACAGATTTAGTACCTGAACCGCCTGGAAATTGATTACAGGAGTATGAAACAAATGAGAAACTCGGTCAGAAAAATTACTGTTCAAAAATATTTTTAAGGATCTTCAGAAGTGGATCTAGTACAAGAACTGCATCCAGTCAACCTAAGAGAAAGACTGCAGTCATTAGACTAGTTTATAGGACCGATAAGAATGTACTATTATCAAGACATTGTATGCACCATGCAAAAACTAACTTAATAACAAAACTAGTATAGGTTGCAATGTATGATACAGGAAAATAATCAAACGTAACTTAATGTTCATTCAAAGGTTTCTGTACCATGCTTTGGTACACACCATAAGTGTGAAGAGTAATTAAAAATTTCAGATCCTAAGAAATGTTTACATAGGGTGATCATAGATTTGTTTTAAAAAATGTATGGTTTAAATTCTCAGCCTACTAAGTTCCGGCTGCATTATATATATATATATATATATATATATATATATATATATATATATCGATATTTCTACTTTTGAGTGCAAATGCAAAATGCACCGAAAATCGGGAACATTATACATTGATGAAAAATTAATGTTTTTGTAGCATAATCTATTGATTGTATACACAATTTATTGATTAATTAAGTCAGATTTTCGCCAAACTATTTTATTATGAAATCAATCCTCAACTTTATCTCATGTGTTAAAAGTGCTCAACCCAAAATTTAAATTAAATCAGTTAAAACTCGAAATAACAGTTTTTGGCTTTAAAGTAAAGAATATTCAAAATATTAGGGAATATCATCTATTTCTTACACTTCCAATTCATAATAACGGTCTCATATATTCTTACATCTAATTATAAAGAATCGGCCTGATTCCTAAACCATTAGAAATTGGTATTGGGGTTTGAACTTTAACTTGACTGCTTTGAAATAGACAAATGGGCTGAGTTGCTAACCCTGGTACCTAAAAGTGTGGTTGAAAGCTGAGTATACTGCACAGAATACACGGTTAGCAACTGTTGACACGACCGGCTTTTATATTAAACAATTTAGTAAGCAGTCAAACTAGTAATATGTGATAGTTCTACTTACTGGTTTAAGTGAAACAATCCTATATGAGTTATTTAACCGTCAATTAAGCCCTCCTACTCAACATCATAATTGTTATTTCATTTATCCTTTCTTGTATCAGAGTATACTACAATGATTTCTAGTAAGTAAAAATAAGATTATGTTCATAATTTTCTTCACATTGCTGTATTTATGAATGAACGGAAGTCTTCTGTCATGAACATTATGTAAGTCATCCACTAAATTCGGTTAACTTTTTAGGGACTTAGTGTTAATCTTCATATCCTCCCTCCCTTGATTCAGAGTTTGTTGCACAAAATCCCATTCTCTCATTCTGGTCATATTATTTTTTAAATGATGTTTTAGAGTATGGAAACATATCAAGAGAGAATCATTATAATTAGTGTATATGAAATAGGTCATTACGACAGATACACTTAATCAATGTATTAAATTGATAACAGATTGAAAACGAAATAATATACATTAAAACAAAGAAATTAACAAGGAATTTTCAAATTAGGGGATTAATTCACCAAATATCGGATAGTGGTTAAAGGTATTTGATAGAGATCTAATGACTAATAATGATAATTTACTTTTAATCTGTTAAAGGTTTACAGATAGCTGAATAATTGCACGCTTTGAGCTTTACAAAAGACCAGTAATATGTCCTAGAGAGTACGCATGACTCTGAAACCTATAACTGGAATGAGTATGATAATTCTTTTCATCATATTATCTAAATGTTTAAAAGTGGACAAAGACAAGCTTGTTACTCAAAATAACTAACATTACAGACTACCTATCATACTATCATTAAATAAACTATCAATTTCAAATTACACACATTAAGTCTTCTGATTAGAGTGTTATCAAAACAGACGAAAATCAATTTCTTTCTAATTATTATCTATCTGAGTCTATATCAAAGAACAAACTCAAGATGATTTTACTAAAAAAAGCAGACATATATCAACATCTCTATTATCAGTAGTCAGTAATCATTATTTTTAAACTACCACCTACGCAAACACTTTCATCTAATATTAACCAATCAAATTTTGTCATTTTTGAAAAAATATATATATAAACAAAATTAAACTATCACAAATATTCTAAATCCAATTATCTAATCATTATTATTATTCATTAAATAAAATGTACAATTAATTCAACGTTATAATTGTGATCATTTTTTGTAAAAGAATAATTTAAATAACTATTACTGAATCTATATATTATTAAATCTCTGACTAAAAGTCTTTCTTCTTTTCTTTTTTCTTTATTTTTTTGGTTTTTTTTCTTAAAATTCACAATGTATAAATGTATTATAAAAATATTTTCAAATTTATCAAATTTAATTCAATTAAAACAAATTTTGTTGCAATTTTTAAGTGTTCTTTGTTTTGTTATGATGTTTTTATTTGGTGCAACATCATGTTGGTTATTATGGATTTATTTAATTATTAAATTTATTAAATTATTTTATATTATTGGTAATAAATTAATTATTCATGATAATATTATACAAAACTCAAATGAATTTATTCATAATGAACAATTATTTGATTTATTTCGACAATTTATTACTTTATTTGTAATTATTATTGTATATTGGATATATTGGTATATTGATAAAGGGTCAGAAGAGAAAGGTAGTCATCCAAAATATTTTATCAGAAATTTAATAATATGGAAATATATAGCATGTTATTTTCCAATTAAACTTGTTCTTAGTGAATTATATAATAATAATAATAATAATAATAATAATAATAAAGATAATGAACATATATCTGAATTGAATAAACTTAATATGAATACCAATCAAAATTGTAATAATGATGAAGAGAAAAATTCAAATGATAAAATGTATATTCAAACAATTATAAATAAACAAGATTATTCTACATGTGAAAATAATTTAACACGTATAAACGAATTATTTCCTCCAAGTAATAATTATCTAGTTGGTTATCATCCACATGGAATATTTGGTATTGGTGCTTTTATTAATTTCTTAACTGAAGCTAATCAATTCTCTGAAAAATTTCCAGGAATTACACCATGGTTAACAACATTGGAGATTAATTTCAAAGCCCCATTTTATCGTGATTTTCTATTGTCTTTTAGTAAGTTTATATTGAATAATTATTTAGTGACTTCTTTGTTTTTTAATATGATAAAAATGAAATATTACAAGGTTATACAACTTATTTGACAAACCTATTGAAACGAAGCTCCAAAATAAAGCCCTTTTGTAGCAAATAGTATCAAAGATTATAGGTAATAAATGATTTTTTGGTAAAAAAAAAGGAAGGTATAATATTAAAATACTGAATTATAAGCAGAAATAAATGGTGGCTAGCAATGGGATCTAAGTCACCTGTTTCGTCCTATTTAGGACTCGCGAGTCACCATCCATCTTTGATTATAATGCTTGTGACTTAAGGTAATATCAAGGCGGTCAATACAGGATGAACAGATGCATTCCTAAGCATAAATGGGAAGATTCAAATAACCAATACAAGATGAATTAAAATATTCAACATTATATTTATGACAGTGTTCAAATACTAGTATGAGAAAATCCCATTAAACTCCAGTCCATTAGCAGGATAAAAGATATCAAGATCATAGTGAATGGTCACAAGCTAAGAAGCGATAATATATATTAATACGCCTGTAACTGATTGATGAACAATTCACTAACCAAACATCAGAGGTACAAATCGGTTTTGTAGACGTCAGTCTATTCATGTTTTACTGCTAAATCTAATGTTGCTGAGTACAATACTGTGTAAATTCGCGGATAGGTATAGTTGAAAAGTTTCATCTTAGAACAAAAAACTGAGTAGTATTTCCTAATTTCCAAGTTGATTTCAGTCTTTCATGAAAATTACCTTAAAATCGAGGAAATTCATGAGTGAATTTTAGGAAAAAACATATACTGGTGACGAAGACATTCCATCATCTTTTCGACTGTAAATTTGAATGTAACATGGTTAGAAACAATTCAGATGACGTTCTACATTATATTTGTCTAGCTTACAAAGTTATCAAACAAATTTGATCATATGAAATAATACATTACATTATTTGGTAACAACGATGAGAATAACTAATAAGATTTACATCTAAAGTTATTGTAAAAATTGTTATCGGAACGGTATTAACACTATTGATTACAATACTCAGAATGCATAAAATGTTAATTTTAAATGTCTATCAAACTTCTTTAACGATTTCATATAATTTGATTATGCTGAACCATCTTTTATATCATTAAGAAATATCATTTCACGTAAAATCAATTTTCTTGAATGATAACCTTTTTTCCGTCAAAAAAACTTCAGACAGTCAAAAAGTTGTTTAGATTTGAAAGTCTAGTAAGATAAACAATCTGATTTAATCAATGCAACATAATAAAAAAATGACTTCCATTTTGTCAATATTTATCAACTACTTACAAAAGCTAATATTATTTTTGACCAGTCAGTCAGTCAGTTACAACGTAGGATCACGCACATACATGCATCAGTCCAGGTTGTCACACCTCATTAGCACAGCAAGAGGAACACTGGATTCATAGAAGTAGTTGACTCAAGGGTAGCTGAATTGCTTAATAAAGCATTTTGGAAATGTTACTAAAACCTTTTTTTACTAAATTCACATTGTATTTCTTAGTTCAAAGCCATTGTTTTACAGTAAGGTAGATTATTATTACTAATATTATTAAACAAATTCGTGGAGAAGGAATATGACTGAATATTTAGATTACAAACGAACTGGTGAAATTGTTTTATTTTTAACCAGTAAAATTGACGAGGTTAAAAGAAATATAACACTCAATATTGAATCTCCTAAGAATGTTGTTTTCTTAATACAGGCTATTGGATTAAAGTAATTCACAACAAAACATCAACTGAATTTACATAATAATGAAAATAGTATAATAATAGATTGATAATTGTAATACTGAAACCATATAACATGACTTTGATATAATTGAATAAGTTTGCGAATACGAGAACAGAATTTATGCGATATATTCTATATAAGAATCTATGGTTAATTACAAGATACACATGCTGAACAATTATGAGTATAACTTTAGTTTAGTTCAGTTACAAACTTAAGATATATCGAATATTCAATCTAGTTGGTAAACTTTAATTATTCGCATGGGTGGTAATCATTTAACCATGTCATCTTACTGAAAATATGGTTATCTCAATATGATTTAAAAGATTGCTAGGATAGTTGATTATCACAATAAAATTATGTTAGCCCAATTTCCATAACCATCAAATCAATTCATAAACGGTAAAACAATAGTTTTTCTTTCAAAATAGCTATATATTTTCATGAGCTCTGTTAAATATGCTACAAAAATAGGGGCTATGTAAGTATAACATGTACTACTGCAGATTATGAACTGATGTTAATTTTGTTCTCGCATAGTAGTTCCTAATCGACAAGCATTTAGTAGACATCTTTATTATTCCCGATCATGATTTTGTCTTATTTACAAATATTAGGTTAGGTCTAAGGCCTTACCTCATATACTTGATTCATATTGATATCAGTAAGAGATCCGCCCCTGACTACAGTTTACTGATAAACCACTGAAGATAATACAACAGAATTTCTACCATCAACCTTTTTTTACTACAGTTACATATCACGTAAATGTTTGGCTGCAGCCAAGACGGAATCATCAAAATAGTGTGGATAGATATCTAGCAAGAATTTATTTATATTACAGTTCAAAAGTATTTTATTACAATAACCTCATCAGAGGCTGTATTTCACTATACTGCATTATTATTATTAACTGGTATCTATTTTGATAATTTTAGCTTCAATTCATTGTTTATTTTATTTTACCTTTATATGCTAACGTGAAATATAATGAATGGAATCAATTTATAGTTTTATAAAAGTTTATGTTAATATATCTATTTATCAACTATTTGTAGTGTTAGGTATTTCAATATTTACTTAATATAATCTAATGTAATTAAAATCGATATGTTATAATGACCTATATATTTGATGAAATTAAATAATGAACTTACATTGTCTACCAATGAATGAATATATAGATTTCACATACAATAACCTGATGTCAAAAAAGGTTTACATACATATGAGAAATATAGAGTAGAATTATAAATGTTTATATTATTTTTAAAAATAATTCGATGAAAGTTAATCATATTTAATTATATACATGTTGTACGTGTCACTGCAAATAGTCGTGGTTTTCTCACCTATTCAAAGTCTAAAACTAACAAAATCTTGTTAACATAACAGACTGATTTTGGTTAAATAACTATTGAAAACTAGAAAGCATTAGACGGCTATTTTGTCTTAGATTATAACTCCTTTGTAGTATATCTATCACTTTAGACAGGGTTGATTTCAGGATTTTTAGATCTAACAGTGTCTAAGTTACCTTCAGGTTACTGAATTCAAATTCAATGTTGTGCATATCCTACTTGAATTACACTTCAATATACTAATAATGTAAATATTTCATATTTTTAATGGTCGAAACCATGATTTACAAAACCTATTAGGTTCTTGCTAAACATTTATCATTAGAAATACATAAGAATTCCATAGGAAATCAGGGGCATAAAATCTATGATAATATTTACTTAATCATTCACCTGGCATTATCCCCAATAATTAACTATCTACAGAGCTTTATGACATTAAACAAGATGCCAAAATTATGAGTAATTACAAAACAAAACAAAAATTTTAAAATCATTATTTTAGTATGTAGTTCACGTAAATCTTCTATACATCAAAGTGTAATTATACTAAATTTTAAAAACTATTTACAGGTTAATAGTATAAGGTCGTTCTTAAGAAAAAATTATGTTCATATGTATCTGTACATCAATCATCATAAGTAATTTAAATGCTATATAATGGTAGACATATCTCTGAATTCTAAAGACAATCCTTCCTCTATGAACAAATTCATTAGATAAGTGTATCATTGGAGATTACTTGATTAATTAAGTTTTATTGGCTCAAGTACCTTCAGGATTGAATATTTTTAGAAGTGATCAAGTATACTATTAATAGAAAATCAATAAACTATGGGTAGTCTTATCACTTACACTAAGTTACTTGATTTGATGATTATTTTTCATTAAATTAAAGGTGAGAATGTCATTAAAATAATCCTTCATATAGTAATTTGTTAATTGTAAACGATAGATTATGACTAATAATAATAACAATAATAATAATAATAAATGTTTCAAAGTAAAATCATGAACTATAAAAAGGTCGTAATACTGGATTACGCAATACAAATAATAACACTAGACTTAATAAATCAGTAGTGAATTATAAAGTGAGTGTAGTAACATTATTAAAATGTTTTTGTTACAACAATTAGGGGTCATAGAGGTGTAAAAAATGAATAAATAAAGTGATATCATGAGCAATTCTGAATAAAATAATGAGAATATGAGACATAAGTAAAGGAGGAAATGCAGTGATAATAATAAAGGCCAAGGTAACAATAACGATAGGACGTACTTCTTTTGTACGCATAGTTCTGGTTTGAGCTTGTGGCTGGTAACTATCCTTCATCCCATCGATGCAGATTGTTAGAACTTTCTCATATTGTAGCAGATTTGCCATCAATCAATGTAACAGATACATACTGAAGAATATTTTTTACACTGAAGTTAACTTGATATTCTTTTCTTATTGAGTATGTTTCAAAAACTGTCTAGGCATTCTCATCATATTTATAGTAAACCCTTACAACATTTACTTCCATAGACGCAACTTTATTGTCTCTGTTTTGAAACTTCATCCTTAAACTTCACTTAAATGAACAAGATAATCAGACCAAACTTTTACGCTACTTAAATTTCAGTTGTTGACATTTTAACAAATATATTTTTGTCTGTTTTCTCAATAATTTTTGTGAAAACGTACTCTCAAACTGTAATGAAAGTTTATGTATAGGTCTTTACTGTCATGCAAACATCAGTACAATATCCATACATAGAACGCGCTTTGAAAATCATACGAAAGCATTCGCTAAACTTGAATATTATCGCTTACAATAAGTAATTTTCCTAAATGAAAACATTTGAAACCCAATAACTTTTTTCATATTTAGGATGTTACTTTAAATTATTAAGTAGTAAAACTTCGTCACCGTAATTTGGTTGAAGGAATTGTAGATTAAATGTCCTTCGTTACCTTTATTCATTCAAGAGTTGAACTGCAGGAATCGGGAGAAAGTTCGAATAAAATACCATTCATTTTTTGTTCTACGGTTGACAGTTATATCGGATAAAGTTAAATGGTCCATTTCCCTAGTTTCCAAGACTTCAAAGTGGACTTTATTTTGTACCGAATTTCCCCTATAATGGATGTTATTTAACTAAATAGACCAATATACTGACTGATTTATTTTTTATTTATTCAGATCTTGTAGCAGCAACATACAAAGGACTTTCATATCTTCTTGATTCTCAACAATGTGGAAATACAGGAAATTTTGTTGTCGTTGTTTTGGGTGGTGCTCCTGAAGCATTAGATTCACGTCCTGGGAAATATGTCTTCCACACTAACCGACGATATGGCTTTTTTAAATTAGCATTAATGACTGGGTAAGCATGATATCGAATCATTTTCTTAAATTTACAAATTGACGATATTGAACGTAATTCAAATATGTTACTTGAGGATCTAGAAAGATATGGGTTATAACATAATTGTAGTATTTACGAGAGCTTTAAAATTGGGCGAATGAAAATCAGTCAACCCAGTAGTATTTCCTGATTCATGTGAAATAACAGCTCAATGAATAAAGACAGTATATTTCCATTAGAAAAAAACAAATTATACCTCTTACAGCCATCTAACATCAAAATGCATCGAAAGAGTCACTTAGTTTAGTGTAACTTGGTTGATGGAATCCACTTACTACAAAGGATAAGACTTTATATCAGTGTTCAGTGATCGAGTAATAATTCAAAAGGGAAATGATTTTCGAAACACTTTTAATTAGACGAGTATACTGCACAGCAGTTTGTTTCTGCTCTAATTTATGGCTGCGAAACGTGGCGATTAAGAGTAGAAGATACTCGTAAGTTACTAGTATTTGACCACAGATATCTTAGAAATATTGCCAGCATCAGATGGGATCTCCCGGCAACTGTGAGGTTAGATGCAGGGTATTAGGGAATGATGGTAAATCAGTTGGTGAGGTTGCGAATCTTCATCGACTGAGATGGTTGGACCACGTGTTACGTATGCCTGAACACCGATTACCACAATGCGCAATGCTAACTGGTGTTGGGATGTTTGGAAGAAAGTTAGGGGCGGCCAAACCACAATGTGGCATCAGTGCTTTAAGTCACTAACTTCTAATCCGAGCCATGTTGGTAGATGCAGACTACTTATTTGGGGTCCGCGTGACTAATGGTTGGAGACTCTTGGCAACATGGCTCAGAACCGATCACAATGGCGTCGGTGTACACTCTCTTCGTCCTCCCTTAAACCGTGAGATAAGAATCGCTTTATATCTTCCTTTCTACAAACTAATTCTTTCTTCCTGTATTATATCTTTATATGCGTTCTTCTATACATTACTACCGTTGAAGTGATTACTTTTATGAATTTGGTGTTCATCTTATTGTGTTATTGAGGTAAAGCAACTTTGGACCGATGCATATATGTGCCTGGTCCTACATTGTAGCTGAATGACTGACTAAGGATTAACGTAAAAGGATATTGGAGACAATTAAAGTTCAATTAATGGAAAGACCTGCTAATTATTTTCCTATTCTGAAAGCCCCAAACTGTTTGTTAGCTAATTAAATGTCTTACTCCTATGGTTTCGTTTAGGTCACACTTAGTACCGTGTGTATCTTTTGGTGAACCGAATATGTTTAAACAAGTGTACAATCCTGAAGGGAGCTGCATACGATACTTCCAAAATCGATTTACGGAAATGGCAACATTCTCACCTCCTTTCTTTTATGCTCGATTTTTACTGCCTTATCGGACAGATGTAAACACAGTCAGTAAGTTAAACAAATAAATCATTCGAAATATTTTCGACTTCAATATGATATAGTGGTCACAATAAGGTTTACTTAATATCATTAGTAATCTTTTCTAATTATCTCAGACAAATTGGAAAACCAGACAGCTTAATGAGGATAATCTCAATACAGTGAAGATAACACCAACAGATGTGCCCAATGGTATAATTGGACGTTCTAAAATAGGACAGCTGGAAATGCTAACACAATCCGTTGTCCAGTAGCTATATACTGTCATTTCGAAGTCGCTGAGATCTGATTAAGGACTGGGAATAAGAGCCAGCGATGCTTATCACAATTCACATGTCTTTTTCACTTTAAACTACAAGCTTCCACAATGATTGGTTGGCTATCTTGCAATTTAATTTGAGTCTCAAAATTACACCCAGAATTCTCATATATTTCCAATAATAGTTAACTAGCTGGTATACTGTCTATTGTTTGTTGTGGAAAGTCAAGCATCTAAACCGCACTTAATTATTACCTATACAGTCAGATTTTTCCAGTGTACCTTAAGTGTTAACAAGTACATTCACTGGAATGTGGCAAAACTGGAACTCCGTTAGCAATCTGATAGATTATAAAACGACTAGTCTTCAATAGAACACCAGATTAGTAACCCAGAAGACGTTAAAATCCACTTATAATACAAATACAATCTATAGACTAAGGCAATCAAAATTATTGCTTAGGTTCTTGTCTCTTAACTAAAAAATAGTGATTCCGATTTTTAAATGTCTTTTTTTCTACCGAAATAAAAACAGTTGGACGGCCAATACCGTGTGAAAAAATTCCAAATCCAACAAGAGAACAAATATCAGTGCTGAAAGAATTATACCTAGAAGAACTTCGAAATCTTTACAATAAATATAAACCAATCTATGATCCAGATGGAGATTTAATGTTCGTTTGAAGCTGAGATAATCGTATTTTCACAGTTTATTCTACTATCCAAAAAAAAAAACAATAAACATTACTATCTAGGACTTTATGATTCTGATTATTTTATTTATGACAATTATTTTTCAATTTCAAGATGTACATTCATTTGAAAAGATTTTCCGGCTTTTCATTTCTTCTAGGATCTAATGAGGAACAACAACTCTTGATAAATTTTAATACTGATTGGAAGTACAAGACTAAAGAAATACGACGGCCTAATCAAATCAATAGGTATTATAGTGTACCGTAGTCTATGTTAAAAGTCTTCGCAATCTGTATAAGTCATTGTCTAAAATGATAGAGCATGTAGGTCTGAGGTTCGAGAGATAAGCCCAGATCACTCTTAAATTCTGGAAACAATAAGGGTGTATATCAAGTTTGTATTTACTTACTTAAGTAGGGAGGAACAAAATGCTCCCTCTATTTTGGCAGAATAGTGAAAAGAAATTTAATACCGTCCACAATATTGAGAAAGAAACTCTAATGATTCAATACACGTCAGTTCTACTAAGCATTAACATGGTAAAGTATACATGAAAATTTAGCTGATATGAACAAAATAAGGCATGGAATTAGAGTGCATCATACAGAGTTAGTACATCTATTAATGTCGAAGAAACGCTTTAAAGAGGATTCAATATATCAAGTTTACGTTATTCATTTCACAGTTGACTAACAACGAACATATGATATAAAGATAAATTGTGGAGTTCCGCTGTCTGTGCATTTAACAGCTCAACGGCCTCGTGAGTAGTTGTATTGTACGGACAATTGCCCCCAAATGCCCTGGTATGGCCGAGAGCGGGGAGGGTTCGCCCTCCCTCTCGAAATACTCTCACACGGCCACGCGTATACATCCCCTGCCAGGGAAGTCCTACTCACTGCCTTCTCGTGGCGGGGGTGTTGTTTACGAGAATGAGAGGACGAAAAGCGAACGTCCGGCGCTATAACCGGATCCCAATTCTATGGTGCACATGGGCTCCAGTATCCTGAGGGAACAAATGGCGTATGAACCAACTTTTGGTCACCGGCTTCCATGGGACTGCATCTCCTCACGATGCTCCACTGCCTTGTGGACTAGACCTTTAGGTCAAAGGCTCGGGGTGTGGCCCCCTAAGAAAACCACCTGCTTCGGTCTGGGCACCCGGGCAGTATCCCAGCCCACTCACTAAAACTATGATGAACTATCTGCTTATAGAAAATATTCGTTTCTCTCCGACTAACATTGAAATGACTGGTATTATTATTATTATTTACTACGTCATTTATTCACTATCTCCTATTTCTACTTTTTGTATCCGCTTCGACTCAGACAGCAGCTCGTCTATGGTGAAAATTCAGCTTTATCTAAACGTTCTCGAGTCACTGCCTGGTTGAAAATTATATGTTACTACCGAATATGAGTACTGAAGCAGTTTTTCTGAAACCACGTACACCATTCAAACTGGCTACCTTCAACGTTCGCACACTTATGCAGGTCGGACAACAGATAGGGCTGGCTATGTCTTTGGAAAGTCTTAATATTGATGTGTGTTGTCTATCCGAGACCCGTATTCAAGACTCTGGTGAAGTACTACAAGTTCGCTCTCCATCTGTCACTTCAAAAAGCTTGTTTTATGTGCGTTTATCCGGAGACCCTGTGGTATCTTCGTCTGGTCTTGCTGGCGTTGGTGTCGCACTAAGCGCAAGAGCTGAGGCAGCACTAGTCGACTGGATCCCCATTAACAGTCGGTTATGTGCTGTTAGATTAGAAAGTTCCATCAAAGTGAGAAGAAATCGGCGTGAGAAACGATGTCTTTTCGTCATCTCCGCCTATGCCCCGACAGATTGCAGCCCGAATGCAATCAAGGACGAGTTCTACCATCAGCTAACTGTTCTTCTCCAGTAAGTGCGTTCGACAGATATTGTAGTACTAGCCGGAGACTTGAATGCTCATGTCGGGCATCTAGGCACAGAAGAGAGTCGTTTAGGTGGCCGATGGGGACTTGTTGGTCGAAGAACAGATAACGGGGAACGTCTACTGCAACTATGCACAGACCACAACATGTTTCTGGCTAGCACTAACTTTCGGCACAGTCATCGCCGATGTGCCACCTGGCCGTCCCCCTTCTGCATCTGAAGCCTGGACTCAGATTGATCACATTGCGATCATCTACCGCTGGTGTGGTTGTGTACAAGACTGCCGCTCCTTTTGGAGTACCTATCTGGACACTGATCATGCTCTGGTCTGCGCCAATCTTACCTTACTTTTCAGTGGACAACGAAGTGACCACCACCAAAGGATTGATGTTAGCAAGCCGGCTGCAACTTCCGTTGCTAGTAAGTACCGAACCGAGCTAGCTTCTAGGCTAGCTACCATTCCACCGAAAAGTATAGATAAGCATTGGTTGCAATTGCATGACGCCATGAAAATGGCGGGTAAAGTCAGTTGTGGGTTCGCGAAACGTCCCGCTTATAAGCACTGGGTTTCTTCTGGTTCCTTACAAATCACTGAAGCCCGTCGGTCTACTCCGGGTGACCGTGAGTTTGACCACAGACGAAGGATGTTACGTAATGAAATCGGGCAAAGCTTGCGCAAGGACTGAGAAGCCTGGTGGTCGGAGCGTGCCAGTGAGTTGGAAGCAGCAGCTGCATCTGGTAATTACCGGAAGCTCTTCCAACTCATCCGAGCCACTGGCAGCAAGAAGTTTGATGTGAGCGAAACAATCTGCGAGGATGACGGAACGCCAATCACTAACATCCATCGACGTCTTGGACGATGGGCAGAATTCTTTGAAGGGCAGTTCAACTGGCCTGCTGCTCCGGCAACATCTGTCAGACTGTCCTGCCCTCCATGGCCGGTGACGACTGATCCACCAAATGAGGCGGAAGTCCGCAAGGAACTCCAACTCTTGAAACGTTACAAATCACCGGGCCCAGATGACTTACCTCCGGCTCTTTTTAAAGATGATGGTGACTTTCTGACTAAGGGACTGACGACGTTGTTTACAAAGATCTGGGAACTAGAGAGTGTACCAACGTCATGGAATGAGTCGATAGTTGTCCCTATCTTTAAAAAGGGTTCACGTTGTTCCTGTAACAACTATCGGGGGATAAGTCTACTTCCGATTGCGTCCAAGCTATTGGCTTCCGTCATACTTCGTAGGTTGTTCAGAACCCGAGAAGGATTGACTCGCGAGGAGCAGGCTGGGTTTCGTTCTGGTCGAGGATGTATTGATCATATCTTCACCCTCCGCCAAGTGTTAGAACACCGCCATACTTATCAAAGGCCAACAATCGTAGTGTTTCTTGATATCAGGGCTGCCTTCGATTCGTTGGACAGAACTGTTCTCTGGGATTGTCTATTGAAGAAGGTTGTGCCTGAGAAGTTTATTAACATCCCAAAAGCTTTATACACAAACACCTCAGGCAGAGTGAGGGCATACAACCACCGTTCTCTATTATTCCATTTGAGCAGTGGGGTTAGGCAGGGTTGCCCAATCTCACCATTCCTCTTCAACTTTGCCATCGATGACATTCTGGAAACAGCTCTGACGGATGTAAGTAATGGTGGTGTGGATCTGTTGCCTGAAGAAAGACTTCTCGACCTTGAGTATGCGGATGATATTGTCTTACTGTGCGAGAATGCCCAAGCCATGCAATCCGCACTTAATCAGTTGGCAATCAGTGTCCGTAGGTATGGTATGTGCTTTGCACCTTCGAAGTGCAAAGTTCTTCTACAAGACTGGCAGGATTCTAACCTTGTACTCACTCTGGATGGTGAGCAGATTGAAGTAGTTGAGAAGTTCGTGTATCTAGGTAGCTGCATAAGTGCTGGTGGTGGCGTGAGTGATGAGATCAATGCACGTATAGTGAAAGCCAGAGCGGCTTATGCCAATCTGGGCCATCTTTGGCGCCTTCGTGATGTCAGTCTGGCTGTAAAAGGTCGGATCTACAACGCGACGGTGAGAGCAGTTTTGCTCTATGCTTGTGAAACCTGGCCTATCCGAGCTGAGGATGTTAGACGACTCTCTGTGTTCGATCATCGCTGTCTCCGAAGGATTGCTGACATCCAGTGGCAACACCATGTTAGTAATGCAGAGGTTCGGCATCGAGTGTTCGGTCACAGAGACGATAATGAAATTGGTGTCACCATCTTGAAACACCGACTTCTGTGGCTTGGATATGTTCTACGAATGTCGTCCCAGAGAATTCCACGTCGTGCATTATTTGCCGACTCTGGGACTGGTTGGAAAAAGCGGAGAGGTGGTCAGTATATGACATGGTGTCGTGGTATGAAAGAAAGCTGCAAAGGGCTAGCTTCTGTTGGTCCTTCACGACTCCCTGGTTGGGGTCCGAGAGACGGTGTAACGCAGTGGCTAGAGACGTTATCAGATATGGCTAAGAATAGAAGCCAGTGGCGATCGTGCTGTAACCTCTTACTTTCTTCATAAAAAGTGGTTGTATCTTCCTTAACTGAAAGATCTCTTCTGATTGTACCTTTCCGTTTCCCCCACCATTGTTCTCTCTCTCTTTTTTTTATTTTTTAAAATTTATAATTCCCCACGTTCATTACTTTTTTTTCTCTTTTCTCCTTCTCTTCAAATTATCATTGTTTTGTGTGGCGCATATATATTTGGTGCCCCCCTGTACCAATATTTATGAGTTCAAATAATAATAATAATACGGACAATTAGGCAAGTTCATTGTACCTCGAATACCACTCTTTAAAGTTAAGTGAGGAACAGCCATCCAGTACCAAACAGATACGACTTCCACTTTTAATTTTCATAATTACACAATCACTAATGAATTTGTAATTATATCCATCTTACGATTACTCCACTACTATTTCTATAGATAAAATATCGTGTTAATGGATTCATCATTTGATTGGTACTGATTTAATAATGTATAAATAAAGCGTATGTGTAGAACCATGGTGGGGAATTAAAATAACTTCTTGTCAAATAGGCATTTTTAATGTCTGGATTGTAATACTAACTTTACTGAAATTGTTGGGATCATCCAGAAAATTTCTCGCAAAAGACACGCAAGGATCAGGAAACATTAAGAAGCATTTCATCCAATCAGCGTTTTAGCCAGAAACATCAAGGAAGTGAAAATGTCACATGTAGATGTTCTGATTGGCTGATTGTTATACTGCTATTATGTTTAGTAGCATTCTAGAATCTTCGAGCAACCCAAGGACATTTAGAATGTTATAAAAACCCTATGTTTTCTGTATTAAAATGAACCTTGGAGTAAAGTACCTTTCGCATACTTTGCGCTTTCTCTCTCGTGTTCAGATCGCTGTATAGTTCTAGCTTGGGGGTTACAAGAATAACTTAGGAACCGAGTATAGCGTTTAAATTGCGAGACTTATCAGAAATACAGACTTACGCACTGAAAAATAGTTTGACGACACTAAGATAGGAATACGAACAACGTAAGACCTGTATGAAAATGACAATCTACGGAATAGGTATTACGAGAAAATATTGGAATGAATCTTGGTATGTGAACAAACAGTACAAAATTAGACCTTAATGATTTAGATTGTTAACAATATTTATGTTAAACAAGTCAAACCCTTAAATTGTGTTACCGTGACCGATTATTTAGAAACGAACTCACAAAACTATCAGTGAAATAAATGACAAGGTTTTTGACCAAAATCGCATGAGAAATAATTATACAGATTAAAACAAATATTAACATACACCATTTTGTTTATTATGTTATACAAGTTATTTAGATCTTTATATCGTTTAAATTTTTTGAGATTTAGGAGCTCCGGATGAACTTGTTTTTTGTACAGCTTGTGTTAACATTAATTTGCCTATTGTTTGACCTGCCATCTGAGCAAGACTGTTGCAGTAGAAATCAAGCTGAGCTGAAACCAACGCAGTATCTAAACGGATTGGAGCCAACTCCCGGTTACGTGTTTCAGGTGTGGTCTTGTGCAAAAAAGAGATTTTTAAAGCAATTAGTCCCTTTGATAAATTTCGATAATGTATTAAGAAGACGAAGATTATCAGAACTATGTGATATATTAGTGCAATACATTTCGAACAATCTGATCACACATAGACTTGTTAAGAACATTTATATATAAAAATAAAAGGTCAACTAGACTGGAAATGGGGTAAGTAGAGACAAAGCTAATAATAAGAGTAATAATAATAATAATAATAATAATAATGTGAATACAATTTGAAGCCTAATCACTCTGGGTAATAAGCCAATATTACCAGGGTAGGTTTAAGGTGAGAACAAACTGTTTTTGAATACACAAAGAGGGTTCGAATTTTCGTACGGCTTCAATAAACCTTAGTATACGCCTTTTTACACTTTTATACAACACTACAAAAGCTGCGTTAAGATCAATCTTATGGCTTGTTTCGATTAGATATTTAGCAATAGAGAATGATGGATGTTTATCCTCTGCTCCTATTGGGTCAATTGATTGTATTTGTTTCTACAACTATTTTGGTACATGTTCACACACACTAATTTTGAAATCCTCCCTATGTATGTGTTACCACACACACATTTGAATTGGTAAACACAGTGGGACGTGATACAATCGTTTTCATGTACTTTAGGTTTTGGATAAAGCATGCACCTTGTTCATTCTTTGATAATGACCTTTTCTGCGCAATACGTTTAGTTGATGACTAATTGAAGCCTTTGTTTCAATAAAAGGCTATTTGAACCACCTCTGAATGGTAAGGTGATGTAGATAGGCTTTTGTCCTACCAAGGCTACAGTAGGTCTCACTGTACCATGGACTTTCTATCTATTTATGAATGTCAGAGGATAGTCATTTTCCATTAATGTTTTATTTAGCAACTTAACATCATCATCAATGACGTCATTTGTACAAATACGATCAAGCCTGTTGAATAGGCACCTTATCAAACCACGTTTGCATTGCACAGGGCAATAGCTATGATAACTAAAGTATTGACCTGTCCACGTTGGTTTTCTAAAAATGAATCGTTTGACTGAGCCATCCTTTCGTCTGCTCAGAAGTATATCTAGGAAGGGAAGCTGATCGTTCTTCTCCTCTTCACATAAGAGACTGATATGGTTTTGGAGTGTTAAATTTACTCAATACGGTACATGCCCTTATTTATTTCACAAAAATCTAAGATATCGTACACATATCTCTTATAAAGTGACATGTTTTCGATTAGGTCATCAGCCAGATTGTTCGAAATGTATTGCACTAATATATCACATAGTTCTGATAATCTTCGTCTTCTTATTACATTATTGAAAAGAGATTATCAAAACAAACATAAACAAGCAGTATTATACAAATAAAATCCACAAACAATACAGGAACGAAAAATTATGAATTGAATAATAACCATTTACAATAAGAGGATGACTCCAGTTAATGTTCGCAAATCAGTGGCATCAGATGTACTTAATGGTACATTAAGTTGAATAACTGTGAGCATTAAAATTGAATACAGGCAAGATGTATTAGCATATCGCAATGTTGCTGGCCTTAGCATATTGGTCTAAATTACTTAACAGTATAGATGACTTTCACATGAAGCGTCGCTCACGGTTTGTTTTGATCACATACTTGGTTATCCTTCTAGCCATTGTACTATGACGATAAATATCTTCATTATCAGTAAAATAAGGCAGGTTTAATGTTGGAGATTGTAATGAATTCAGAGCTCACTTTGTTTAGTTCCAAACATCAACCATAGCAAAAATTATATCACTAAGAGTACTGGTGTGTAACTAAATAACAACTTATCGCGAGCTACCAGCCATTCAACAGGTAAAATAATTGCCAAAAATTAACCACTTAGGATCAAACAATTCGCTTTCCCTTATAGTATTTCACAATCATATAATCTGATGAAGGTACAAAATAAGTAACAAACTTTATTGATTTACCTTGCCAGCTACAGTAGTTTGAGATTTTGATAGACTACGTTGATATGAATACTGGTAATCATGCACTGTTTCTAAACCCGCAAGAAGAGAACGTAGTTGTTGTTCTAAACTAGAGGCCATGCTTAAATTGAGAGTAGAATAACGACCAGGATGGTCTTTTGGAAGCGGTGGGGCCAGATCTAGCATTGATGAATTTGTAGAAAGCTCTGATCGCGACAGTTCTTGATTATCGACGATTTCAGTCAAAAGAATGTTTACGAGATGAGAATTATGAATCACAACAGGTATCTCTTCCAGAACACGAGTGAAACTGCTGCGACCTACACTGCTTGCCGCTTCCTAGAAGTGGAAATTTTCAAACATGAGAAAATGATTCATTGGGTATATTTGCTTATTATGTACACCAAGGTGGATTTTTCTTGTCGGACAAAAGATAAGTGCTATTAATATTGAAAAAGTTAGAAAAAAAGCTTGCGTATATAAGTAGACGGATAACTATCATTACAAACTATATTGACAATAGCCCCCTAACTTAATAGGTCGCAAATGAGCCATGTGCCGCCCGCTTTACTCATAATGTCGAACTTATATGTATGATCATTTTTATGATCTATAGTCTAGATGTTTGCACCAACCACATCACAGTTGATATGTAACAATCCGACAAAATTTTTCACACATGAGTCGTTACTAAATAAAAAATTAATAAAAGAAACTCTTTATCGGGAACTGATTCAGAAAACATAATTATTCATAGTGCGATGGCTGTTAATATTGCATAAATAACAATCAACGCGTATCTTTCAATTTCCGCCAATTAGTATGTTTGTGCGTACAAAACCTAAAGCTGTTAGCTAAAGAAATGTGAATTATAAAGCGATCATGATTTACTAATACCTTGGATTGCGTAGCACAGAACACATGTAACATTCATAAAACCTAACGAAAGACTACCTTGATTATTATATGCCTCTCTAGAACCTAAAAATTTGGCTTAGTGAATGTAAGCCGACACTAAGGCTTAATGTTCCTTTATTTATTTATTTATTTGAACACATAAATATTGGTACAAGGGGGCACCAAATATATATGCGCCACACAAAACAATGAGAATTTAAAGAGAAGAGGAAATAACGGTAAGGAACGTAGGGCATTATAAAAAAAAGAAAAGAAAAAAAGAGAACAATAATGGTGGAAACGGAAAGGTACAATCAGAAGAAATCTTTCATTTAAGGAAGAAGCAAACGGTTTTTACGAAGTAAAAGACGGTTACAGCAGGATCGCCACTGGCCTCTATTCTGAGCCATATCTGATAACGTTTCTAGCCACTGTGTTACACCATCAGTCAGTCAGTCAGTCAGCTGCAACGTAGGACCAGGCACGTATATACATAGGTCCAAGTTGCCATACCTCATTAGCACAACAAGATGAACACCGGATTCACAGAAGTACTCAATTTAGTGGTGGTAATATATTAAAGAAAGATTGCATATACGGACATAGTACAGGAACAAAGAATTAGTTCGTAGAAAGATATGAAGCGATTTTAATCTCATAGTATAAAGGAAGAAAGAGGGTGTATACACCGACACCATTGTGGTCGATTCTGAGCCATGTCACCAAGAGTCTCCAACCATTGGTTACGATAGTCACGCGGACCCCAACCAGGCAGTCTTCATCTACCAACATGGCTCAGACCAGAAGTTAGTGTCTTCAAGCACTGATGCCACGTTTTGGTTTGACCGCCCCTAACTTTCTTCCAATTATCCCTAACACCAGTGAGCATTGCGCGTCGTGGTAATCGGTGTTCAGGCATACGTAACACGTGGCCCAACCATCTCAGTCGATGAAAATTCATAACTTCACCAACTGATTTACCATCATTCCCTAATACCCTGTGTCTAACCTCACTATTACTTACCTGGTGATCCCAGCAGATACCCCCAATATTTCTAAGGCACCTGTGGTCAAACACTAGTGACTTACGAGTATCTTCTACTCTTAATGGCCATTTTTCGCAGCCGTATAGTAGAACGGAACGAACTGCCGCGCAGTATACTCGTCCCTTAATTGATAGACGGATATCTCGCCTTCGCCATAGATGACGTAAGTTGGCAAAGGCCAAACGAGCTTTTCGAATCCGTGCTGAGATTTCGTCAGACACCAACCCATTAGGGCTGATCAGACTTCCAAGATAAGTGAAGTTGTCAACGCGTTCGACTACTTCACTCCCTATCCTTAGTTCAGGTGTTGACTCAGACCAGTCCCGAAGCGCATCCCAAAAATTCTGGCATTGTTGCTCAGTGCTGCCAAAAGACTCTGCATTTCATCAGCGTCTTCACCAAACAGGACTATGTCATCTGCGTATTCTAAGTCAATAAGTGGACCTCCTGGTAGGAGATCAATGCCCGAGAATTCAGTCGATGAGAGCGTTATTTCCATCAGTAGATCTATGATGAAGTTAAACAAAAATGGAGAAAGTGGACAGCCTTGACGGACGCCGCTTGAAGTTGCAAAAGCAGTTGACAGTTCGCCATAAGCTCTGACTCAACTATTAATGTTCAAGTAAAGAGCCTTCACAAGGTTTATGTACTTCTGAGTTACGCCTTTCAATGACAGACACTGCCACAGAATCTCTCGGTCAACAGAGTCAAACGCTGCTTTTAAGTCAAGGAAGACCACCATTGTCGAACGCCGAACAGTATGCCTGTGTTCTAGAACCTGACGAATGGTGAATATGTGGTCGATGCAGCCACAACCAAGTCTGAAGCCAGCCTGATTTTCACGTGTTTGCAGCTCACGAGTCTTAGTTAGGCGTCCGAAAATCATAGAAGCTAGTATTTTAGTTATTATATTAGTTAAACTAATCCCTATATGGTTGTCACAGGATGATTTTGACCCTTTCTTATTTCTTATATATTGGGACGATAAGTGATTGTGACCAGTCAGAGGGGATAACGTCCACCCCCCAGATTTTAGTTAAAATATTAGTCAACCTAATCGCTAAAACTAGACCACCATCCTTAAAGACCTCTGGAGCCAATCCATCTGGACCAACTGCCCTTCCTCGTTTCAGATTAGCTATAGCCTTTTGAACTTCAGCTAGAGTTGGGGGACCTACTTCAATGTTCCATTCATACTGTCTGGGAATAGAGGCTAGTTGTAGAGTAGCTGAAGGCCAACTTAATTGCTCCTTAAAGTGTTCCGCCCATCGTTCTAAGCGTCTGGACTGGGAGCAGATGAGAGTGTCGTCTTTTTCCGAAATAGTCTGACTTACACTTGATTTATTAATTCCAGTTTGTTTTATTAGTCTGTAGAGTTGTCTTGTGTTCCCTATAGCCACCGCCTTTTCCATCTCTTTAGCTTTCATTGCCCACCACTGCTCACGATCATTCCTTAGACTTTTGCTTAACCTAGATCTGATTTCTTTACGCTATTCATCGTGTTCAGAACCTGATGGGATGAGTTTACGAGAATCTATCAGTGCAATAGACCTTGAAGAAATTCATTGGTTCTTTGTAACCCTGTGGTTTAAATCACTAGTAGATGTCACTGCTGTTTCCACAGCTGCTTGTATGTCTTTCCAATCAACATCTGGGTCAGCCTCGTTTTCAGAACTACCTAAGTGTGACCTCAGTTGTTCCTGGAACCTACTTTTGGTTTTCTCATTACTCAATCCGGTTCTAATGAGTCTTTTTTGTGTGGCTTTTTTGCGTCCAGTGAGGCGCAAGCAGATGCGTGCTCGTATTGGGGCATGGTCGGAATCCAAGCAGGTACTCCAGAACGAGCGACAATCTTCTATTGACCCCCTCCAACGATGACTGATGGCAATATGGTCTATTTGAGTCCATCGTTGGGCTGATGCAGGGGGTCACCATGTTAGACGATGTCCCTCCTTATGCTTAAAATTTGTGTTTGCTAAGAATAAACCATTGTCTGAGCAAAGTTGCAGCAGACGATCACTATTATCTGTTCGCTGTGCCGGAATATTAAAATACCCACCTAAATGTCTTTCTGTTTCGTTTAAGCTACCTACCTGGGCATTAAAGTCACCTGCTACGAGTAATATGTCTGAACGTTTAGCTTTCTGAAGAAGTTCAGACAGCTTTCTGTAAAATTCATCTTTCACTTCATCCGAACTGCAGTCAGTGGGAACGTAGGCAGAAACGACAAAGAGGCAACGACGTGTGTCCCTATCCTTCCGAGTTCTTACCGAGCCGTTTAGCCGAACAGCGCATAGACGACTGTTAACGGGGATCCACTCTAATAGCGCTTGTCCCGCCCTCATGCTTAGTGCTATGCCTACACCTGCCAGTCCATGAGAACTAGCCATCGGGTCGCCAGATACACGGAGGGTGTATCTCGTCGGCTCTCCGTTTTGCCGAGGTGAGGTCAAGTGAATGACCACACTAGGATCCTGTATGCGTGTTTCGGAGACACAGCATACATTAATGGTACGAGATTCTAAGGTTTTAGCCAAGTAGGCCTGTGACCGATTTGGCATAGTGTGCGTACGTTCAAGGCTCCAATGTGTAGTTTGGAGCGAGGTTTCAGTAGACCTGGGACAGTGTTTTGCGCACTAGAATCGTTGGCTGTGATGACACTTGAGGAGGAAGCCAGAAGAGGAAGTTTAGATTTGAAAGTCGATGTAGGAGGAATAATAGGAATTGAAGAGGGAGGTTGATTATGAATACAGTGGTCTTGAGTGCTGTTAGAGGTATGAGGGCGGTTATCAATTCCCGGTTGCCTACACCGTGGAAGGGTTCTGCTGGAGATAGTCTTAGTGACCTGAGAGCGTGACCGCAGTGCCCAAGGGACAGCTGCTTGAGGTCGGTCACACACGACCTTTTTATGAGTAGTTTTTGTGTTAGCTCCGTACTTGTTGAAACCTTACCGCCGGAGACGGATATCCGTGGGATAAGGCGAGGTGTGCATTTTTAGGGTCGACCTTTTCTAACCCCTCCCCTCCCTGTGGGAAGGCAGCATCGCTATCATGCTGGTTGTCCGAAGGAAACACCTTACTGCTGTCACACCTCTGTACAGTCAGCAGTACGACTTAGCCTTCGGACCTTGGTTTTGTTGCTTTTAGTCTTACCGCTCTTCAACCGACCTGTCTGGCATGGTAGGACCATGAGGAACGGTTGTTCCAGTCAGTATAGCTCAGTTGTTTCATCACGATAGGCAAGCCCGACAACCACGTCAATGTAGCAACAACGGTCAGGTGTTACACTATCTCTCGGACCCCAGCCAGGGAGTCGTGAAGGACTAACACAAGCCAGCCCTTTGCAGCTTTCTTTCATACCACAACACCATGTCATATACTGACCACCTCTCCGCTTTTCCAACCAGTCCCAGAGTCGGCAAATAATGCACGACGTGGAATTCTCTGGGACGACATTCGTAGAACATATCCAAGCCACAGAAGTCGGTGTTTCAAGATGGTGACACCAATTTCATTATCGTCTCTGTGACCGAACACTCGATACCGAACCTCTGCATTACTAACATGGTGTTGCCACTGGATGTCAGCAATCCTTCGGAGACAGCGATGATCGAACACAGAGAGTCGTCTAACATCCTCAGCTCGGATAGGCCAGGTTTCACAAGCATAGAGCAAAACTGCTCTCACCGTCGCGTTGTAGATCCGACCTTTTACAGCCAGACTGACATCACGAAGGCGCCAAAGATGGCCCAGATTGGCATAAGTCGCTTAATGTTCTTTTGGAATACAAGAACGATTCAATATTTTCCGACGGACTTTCTCCTAGATTAGTTTCCAATAAATTAACCAAGCAAACGACTTGTACTATAAAAATTATAAATTACAACTATTCAGAAGCTAAAAAAGTCATAAAAACAAAGTGGTACATAAACTTACACATTCCCATGGGACCTCGGGACCCTATAATTAAAACAAAATAAACATCAGAGCATTAACCAAGAGATAAAATGCTTCGCAGTTTTCAACATTCCCAACGTCATACTAAAGATACGTCTAGAGCAGTAGTGGTTGTGCTAATAGCTGGTACCTGTTTAGGTCACCGTGAATGTTTCGTTCTGAATGATCAAGTTGAGTGAGACGTTCCGATAGAAACAAAAAGTACTTTAGGACTAACTGCTTACCAACTAATTGACACAATACTGTGATACATCATATCTTTTAGACTTTAATCTAAGATGGCTAGTAAAAATTTTGAAGTCTATAGACGCATAAAACCAAAGCCGTCCTCGTTTATTGTCTTAATTATATTTCGTTGCTCAGTTGTTGTTTTTTTATAGCATACATCCGAGTTATAAAAATGATCACTTGCTAAAACAGGTAGCTTTATATTGATAACTAGCAGCCACTAGCTGAACATTACAATCGAAGTAAAAGGAATTGAAGATACGATATCGGATTATTTCAAGGCGTCAACGTAGAATACATTTTTTGCATTTTGGTCCGCGTCAGTTCCCGATGAAAACACCAACGATTCATGCATTGTTTTCTTATTAAAGTTAAGACTGTTCATTGTTTGTAACTTTATCATTCCTTTACAATAAGACGTTCCATAATCAAATTCTGTCTCCTTGTTGGTTGAAAGGTAATTTATCTTCCGCTGCTTTAATTAGGTAATTATTGGATTGGTCGATATATATATGCCTAGGACCAGCGTATAGCAGTGAATAAAGCAAGAAGGGTCATATGTGAAATCAAATGTTCACCATAAAACTTGGGCTAATTTGTAAGATAGTTTTATCATACGACTAAGTGTTGAGTTAAACTACACAAGTTCCACATATAATAGTCAGACGAGCCAAACGCGTAAAGACCATGAAGTGACATGAAAATACGGACAAACCTTATGGCCCATCAGACGAAAACGATCTTCTGCTTCGGATCTTGCGGCAAGAACATCGTCAGATAGACGATACGCTTTCAGACCAATTTGACCTCTGCTAGTTCTTGTTGGGTCATAAGTGAGCAACACAGATTCAGGAAGATTAATTTGGCGTTGATAAATATTTTCAATGTTAGCACGGTTAATTGAGACGCCTCCAGGACCAGCTTGATAAAATCCTACATTGAGATAATCCGTTTGTAGCTATGAGTGTATTGCAAGACCTTCCAGAACTTACTTGTCTCAAATTACGTATCATATTAGCTTCATAATTGACCAGAGCCTCGTTGGCATTTGGATCATCTTCTTGAGTCTTAGGCAATGGGAAGCAATTAGTGATTTCAAGTTGACTGCCTTGTGCAAGCCCTAACAATACACCATTGACAAAATTTTGGCTAGAAACAGATTCTTCTTCATAGTGCTTGATCATTTTTAAGAACACCTTCCCTTCCACTTGAACTTTATCTATAGGTTTAGAAATCTTTGACTGAAAATCCATGTTCCAGAGTATAGACAGCAATGCCACCAACGCGTAACGTTCTAAACAGAAAAGCCGCTTAAATAAGTACCATAAAATCACTACTGACTCTAGGTAGAGACCTAAATGTACTTTATTATATGATGGAGTAGTATTTTCTTGTTGATGAGACTATATTTTCGATTTTTCGAGCAAGACAAAATCTTCCGTCTTTTGATTGGATATGGTTTTCGGTTAAATTATCATGACAGTAGTCACTTTTCATTGGTACCTACCTTCAAATCGGTTTTTAACATTTGCCCATTTTGTAAGTACATAGAACTAAATATGCCACAGGTATTCGAAGTTTGACTACACCTTTACACGTAATACCTTCATAATCGAAATATCTCAACCCAGTCAAATCAGAAGTCAGAAATGAAGAGGTCCGAAGATATATTTGAAAGGCTATCGATATCTCGAGAAGTATTTAATCTAAGCTAGCTAGCAGTTGTAGGAGATGCGTAGCACGTCGTACACACTCGTGATATGGCGCAGATGCATAACTAAGCTCTTTCAGCTAAGGTGTGTCAGTTAAAACTAATGTCAGCATCAATGTCGAAGACTTACAGATATATTTGTTTCGTGGATTTATTCACCGCCAAAGAACTCTCGTTTGGCTCATTTTGACACCAAGCCACCGTGCATGATATACATACTGATCAACAACTGGCTACAGTACAGACTACTAAGCTCGTGAAGGAACAGAGAAAATATGTGAGTGACCTGATACAGTTTCAAAACTCCATGCTGATATGAGGAAGGTTGTCAAGGCTTGAGCTGCTTGATATGAAGAGCTCTGTTAAGTAACATATGACGTTGACCAGTGGCTAAATATGAAGTCCAAGAAATAAAATAGGAAAATTAAGGAACTTGTCATCGAACCAATCTGCATACAAGAGCATGTTTAAGAAGGAGAATCCCAGGACTCAACAAATTAGACCTCTCAGGGAGATCAATCTTCTCGCAAAAACTGAACGAGTCCCCTAATAAGGTTTCTACTTCTACCATGATCCTCTGGCCATAGATGTGTGATAGTATTAGTTTCTAACCACACGGTCTTCGAAGCTGAACACATAGTGCTTTCAACGTGTAACACTAAGAGAAGTTCAGATATGGTGAACGCGGGAACATTCAGTCGGATGTCATGGCTCAACCTTGAAGACGTGGTCAATGAGTATAATTTTTCTTTTTTCATATTAAGTATATCATACTATCTTTGGTCCAAATGTGTTCTCCAGAAATAATAGACGTCAGATCGTCTATACACAAAATACAACAAGTCAGAATAGATACTGATTTCATAGATTTGGTAGTCACATCATGACAAATATAAAATTTTAGAATTAGGTCTATTATTAAAGCAGTACTAATGACGAACTAGACCACAATTCTATAGATATATACAAGACTCAATTTCCGTAACCTGTATTTGGACAGTCGAAGTGAATTTTTCATTCATCATTAACAAAACAAGAACGTGCCCATGGATTTACAGTCTAACTGCCAGAGTGAATCTCAAATGATGGGAGACCAGGAAAAAAGAAGCTGAGACGGACGATTTGTGAATAGCCTTGACTTGTCAGCCTCCTCTCAATACAGGTTTAGCTTCACAAACAGTGCCGCTGTACCGTATACTTGCTGTTAATTCAGGCCGAATAATATTAAGCTTTTCGAACTTAAGAAAATCAGGACAATTTATAATAAATATTATTCTCCCCTTCACTACAATATTCAGGATGCGAATCAACTACCATGAGTTACCTATGAACTGGAAGAATGTGATTGTCACTTCGGACCATAAAATAGAATCAAAATGATATCCAATGAACCACGAACTCGTCTTCCTCATCAGTATCACAGTTGAGACACCAACACTTCATCATAAACTTTATGGAAACCAACAGTTAGCTAACCAGTGAATAGAACTGTTCTGACTCATTGAAAATATATTCATTTTGAAGTACCATTGGAAGGTTGCAGAGACCATTTGAGCCAGTAACGGATTCCAAATCTTCATAAGTAGTAGACATATCTACAATCCAGTTTAGTTTGTTGTACCCCTTATTTCAGGGTATTCACTAGAAAATACCCAGTAATGTTTGACGTTCTGTATCAAGTAGTTGCCTCTGTATTCCTTATATCTTAAAAGCCAGCGATTCAGTAATTCTAAGTATCACACATAAGGTTTGAATTCCAGTCCACAAACTGCATTAGTGACCAGCCTCTGTATATCATTTAGTGTTCCTACTATTTAGAAGTAAGATTACAATTGTTGCATATTCGGTGAGACGATAATTTATGGACGACCTTTGAGCGACGCTAAAGTAAGCTTGGGAATTTTCACCTACTTACTAGGTCTAAATGATGTTTATAAAGCAGTATGAAGAGTAAAACTTATGATATACAGTTGAGGGTTTGGGTTAGGAATTATATTTATGCTTTTCATCCTTAACTGACATCAGATATATTGCCAGGACGCTACTTAGACAATTGGGTGAATGAATTTCGCGCCAAAATCCGAGGTCTGTCGTCCTAAATCTGATTGCTTCGTTCATAAATTATAGCCGCGTCTTCAAATTCTAAGGAGATTCAAAGGAAGCCGTTAAGAATTGAATGTAGTGTTCAACCAAGCCGGTCTAATGTGAGTTGAAAATTTGCTTGTGGAAGTCTTACTCTAAAGGCGCTCTCACCATAATCATCTTGAGCTTGTTTTTCAAACACGTATAGTTGTCCCTGTCTAGAGCTTGTTTAAAATAAAGATGCGCCATTCTTTCGTTTCTCGATCGAGGATGGTGTTCCGTATTTTTACAAGCATCATAAGGTTCGTGACATTAAACCCTGATCATATGACTCGTCAGGCTTACTGTATCTGATCGCGAGAGTCTTAACTTTGAGCATTAAAAGGATGGTGGAACTGAGTCGATGGTAACAAAAGTCGACTTGAAAACATCTTTAATATATTTTTATTGAAGATACTATCCTGTTGATAAGATTGCATTAATCCTTCAAAGGTTCTTGTGAAGCAGAACAATCCAGCAGTCCAGACAGAACGGATTCGTCGTTAATTGTAACAACATGGGTCGATTAGTTTATAGTTGGCCGCAAACATTTAAGTAATGTCAAAATATCATGGCTTAAGTACTCATTCACTTCCTTATTTTGTACAGGCATTACGTTTCCTACTGGTTTATGTTGAATGTTGGAAAACTTTGTGCTGCTGAAAGAGATTACATCACTCTCCAGATGCTCTGTTCCATGATTTGAATAAAGACTTATTTACCACTAGTATAATTTCTTCTATCAATAGAACGAGGGGTACATACAGGCACGAAAATATCATATGGGTGAGGTAGTCACATCATGGTGATTAAACAATGAAAGATTATGTCTGTTAATCTATTAACATGAACGAATTCCTTAATACTGAACAAAAGTCCTAACTTCTACAGCCCTTCATGAAGCCAATTTATCAATGCAGAAGCAAATCAACAGGAAATTGATGGTCAAGTAGATGATCGAAAATCAGAGACTCTGTAACTAAAAGGGAGAACTAGGACAGTGTTAATCATAAATTTATTTATGTAACAATATTGATAGTTCCAACCTGCTTAGTCGGCAGAGTATAAGGTGGGAGTATATTCAACTTGAATGATAATCTGACTAAGGTTCAGTATCATTCGATTGGTCATACTATGGTACTGGAACCGGAATCAGCGACTAAAGATTACTTTGGTATTAAATTTTATATCAAATTTGAAATTGCGGATTTAGTTGAGTGAAGACAACGGACACTTATTGTCGTGTTTGGTACTTGGATGACTAGTAATAAGCTTCCAAATGCCATTCTGCATACTGAAACTAATTTCTGATACAAAAAAAGGAAGATTGAGGAGAGAACTGTTTTGTTATCGTCGTTACGAGGAAAAATTGTTTGCGTTGATCAATAATCGTTTTCAAAAAACGTTACGTTGGAGTCTTTGAGTTAAAGGCAATAGCGGATAACCTTTTTGCTCCCGACTGGTATCCGCCAACCATCCCTTCATCCAACCACTGAAAGCAAACCCAGTAGCCAACCAAACTCAAAGCAAACGATCCAACCAAATGTAAAACGGAGCTCCGAAAGCTGCAACTATGTTGTGCATCAATAGTCCCCAAGTTCTAAATTCGCTGACAATTACTCTCTGGAACCTTGGCAGGAAAAAAGAATATTTCCAAAAATGGTTATTATTTTTGTGCACTGGTCTAGAGGGGTTATCCTGAAGTAATACCTGATGTGACCTCCAGCAACCATGAAGCTAAGGTGAATGTTCAGCAGTTTTTAGAGACTCAACGTTTTTATTATGAACGTTCAGTACTTGATGATTCTAAGTAGACTACAATTTGTGAAATCCGACCGTAGCTGCTACCTTGACGTGGTGGTCGCGCTTGCCTATCGTGATGACCCAACCGAGCTATATTGGCTGGAACTCAAGTTCCTGTAGGATTTACCATGCCAGGCAGGTCGATTGGAGAACGGTAAGACTAAAAGCAGCAACTCAAGGTCTGAGGGCGAAGTCGTACTGCTGACTGTACAGAGGTGTGACAGCAGTGAAGTGTTTCCTTCAGACAATCAGCATCTGCCGCGATGCCGCCTACTCACGAGAAGGAAGGGGTTAAAAAAGGCTGGCCCTAAAATGCCACACCTCACCTTACCTTCGGCAGTAAGTCTCTTTGAAGAACGGAGCTAACACATTAAAACCCCCCCACGAAGAGACTGTGCGTGACCGGCCTCAAGCAGTTGTCCCTTTGGTTCTGCGGTCACTCTCGCGGGTCGTTAAGACCAACACTAATCCGATTTCCTTTTCAGGTTCCTCAAGAAATACCTCTCCAGTGTTTGGGCAGCCGGGAAGTGACATCAGCCCTCATATCCGTAACAGCACACAAGACCAAGTTGGTCACATTCAAATACTTCCTACACCTCATAACAACTCTCCTATCTCCACTACTAACCCTTCTCACGTCCCTTTATCATCTCGCACGCTAGGGCAAACGATTCGAGTACGCGAAACGTTATTCCTGATCCCACGAAACCACGCTCTAAAATAAACGTAGGAGCTTTAAACGTCCGAACACTGTGCAAATAGGACAACAGGCTTCCTCACATAAGGCTTTAGAATCTCGCGCAAT